TTTACCACACTGCTCTGCAGCTTATTTGAGATGATGACTCTTTCTCCAGTCATGAGACATCCTTAAACAAGCGGAAAAAGCGAAAGTGTCTTTTCTTGTATGGAATGGTGATGACTCCTGATTTTTTTGGGTCATTTTCCATGTTTGATAAACGACTTCATTTTTCTCAGCACTGGGTCTTGTTCCGAGTAAAGATTGACATCTAGATGAGTTAGCGGCGATTTCCTCATGCAGTTTCTCAATTGCTCTGATACATCAGTTTCTACTGCCGCTATAACAATATCTTCTTCTGAAGTGTTGTACTTTTGCATCAGTCTTTAGTCTATCAACTTGACCAAACTACGTTGTATCAACAAAGTGAATGTCAAAATCGTATCCTAGCAGGATAGTTGCTTCTTACTAGTCGATTTGCGGAGTACACTGTAACGTCTTCATCATGAATATCAATCCAAGTTCTTCTTTATCAATCTGTGAACAGTTCCTTTCGGCATCCGAAAGCGAACGAGAAGTGAAGGCTATCGGTTTATCAGTACCATCTTGCTGAACAGACGTATAATACCACTTCACGTCTTTCTTTGGCATTGCATCTAATCATCTATCACCATCTAACAAAAAGAAACATGTTAAAAATGATTCCAAAAAAATGTTCGCTTCATAGAGATTCAAACAGCTAGATCCCTTCGGTATTCCTTTCTTGGCATAGTACAAACAAGCACGAAAATGCAGTTTATTGTGTACTAGACCAATATGAATACGGTGGAAAAGCGTGAATAGATCTAGCGCAGGAAGAATGCTGGAAGCTGGCGTACAAGCGGTCGTCGCCCCTCCATCTTCCTCGTATTCGCTCCACCCTCTCGTGCTCGCCGCTTATCTCTTGATCTGGAATTCCTCTGTATGAGCTTCGTACTGTACGTGTCATCTCGTTTCTTTTGAACCTCTACGCTCTTACACCTCTCCCCTTTCCTTAATAGGTCCGTGCACGGACGATAATAAAGCACAGGTTCAATAGAAACGGGATATGAAGGCCAGGAATTATAAAAAAAAAGGGGAAAAATGTAAAAAAAACAGTAAATATAAAGTAAATGAAGAAAAAGAAAGTAAAGTAAGAAAGAATATTGAGGGGGAAAAGAAGAAGAAAGAAAAGGATCTACCTCTTATGCGACTACGTCTTCACATCGGAGGACTCAGTTACCACGGCTTTGCGATACGCCCACTGCAGAATCTGGTTCCAATGTGGAGACGTTCCATGGTTGCGGAGATAACCCAAGACGAACTGGCGCACATTCAAACGCTTGATGTCATTGAGGAATTCTCCTGTAGAAGGGTCGATGTGGGTGCGGGCGGTGAGGATAATCACTACATCCATTTCCCTTTCTTGCACAGAATCAACTGTGTGTAGAGCTATTCCTTGTCGTTTGGCATAATCTCGAAGACGAGAAGATTGTTCTTTGTAGAAAGTTATGATCCCTATCGATGGTGCCGGGATATTTCGTGACAGCAGTCCTCGCAAAATATCTTGACAACATTGGGCTTCCTCGTCATTGTAATGCGATAAGGAATGGGACGTTTGAGAGCGACCCCGAACATTGACTAAGACGAATGGTAACGGGGGTTTGGGAGGTATAGGTTCCGAATGAGGAGACCGCGTCGTTCGGGTGGTGTGCCGTTGAGAAGTGTACCTTCGTAAACCAGTATGTTGGGGAGCTGATTCAAGGCGGGGTGGGCCCGGAACGTCGTCACCAATTGCGCAAGGGGAATGTCCCTGCTTGAAAGTAAGTCCATTACACCTCTAGCTCCCATTCGTGCAGCCAATGTAGAACGAGGACAGCGTAGGTGGGGGTGGAGCTGATGGACGTCTCCAATGTGTATGTGTCTGGCCTGAGGAAAACGAATCGCCATCGCAACAAAGACGGACTCAGGAATTTGGGACGCTTCGTCGGGTAAGAAGGTCATAGAAGAGTCCGCCACGCTTCGTGGAATTCATGAGCGATGCTGTTGTCAAGCAAAGGATGGCGGGGAATTGTAGCTGGAGCATAATCCTAACGGCTCGTTCCGTAGAATCCGAATTCCGTAGTTCCGCAATCTTGTATTCTTCGCGCTCTTCGTCCGAAAGACTGAAGGTGCGCTCTGGATGAAACAGCATGGTCTCAATGAGACGACGTCCTCATGCGTGCTTAAGGTGGTGCAGGTCATGATTAGATAGTGTGTCAGAATACTTGGCTGCTAGCCCCTGAAATAGCGTATGGAAGTCGACTGGTGTCACTGGGGCACCTCCTTGAAGCGTTCTGTCGGCCACAAAGCGGAGAATGGAAAGGTGGGGGTAGTCGTCCAAGCTCAGGAGGGTGTCAGTGAATTGCGCGACAGCAACATTAGTGGTTGCGGTGACAATTACCAAGTTGCCGGGGGACACGAGCCGTGCAGCAATCAAAGCTCCAACCAAAGTCTTGCCTGTGCCATGTGGTGCTTGAATTGCCAGCAACGGATGTCGTTCCTCTCCCATCACCACGGCGGGGGCTTGACATATTACAGACATGCAGACATACCAAGACATATTTGAGTGCGAGGAGAAAAGAACAATATTCTGGAGCGCTGGGAGCTGGAAGGGTTTCCCCCCGACGGTGTAACAAAAATTAAAGGAATGAATGGTCCCCTCCTAGCGCTGATATGATCGGTACCGATAAGCTGCCAGCGGGGGCGCCGCAGCTGTTGAAAAGGCACGTTACCGTAACCTTATGTTTTCAGGCTGCTTCTGCCTGCGCTAGCCGTGGGAGCCTGATCGGCACCGATTAGTCTTTGTGGCATTCACGGCGCGCGCAAACACGGCAACATCGCGTCTCGCGACAACGGAAACATGCTCGCTGAGAGCATGCAACACTCTACGGATCTTTCTGAGCTCTCTAGGAATGAAGGCATTATACCTAGTCAATAAAAAGTTGCCTTAGACCAAAAGGAAAGATAAAAGATAGGAAGGAAGGGGAAATAAGTAATAACTTCTATAGATAAATAACGTCGCATCATGGATCCTTTAATGGTGCACCATCGTCAAAATACCGGCCGTTTTTGAATGCGTGCGTGCCATTGTATCAATTACAGGCTTTACGTTACGGTTGCTTGAAGCTATGGGGGAAAAAGTCTATCGTATCCCCTTCTGTGTACACAACTCAATCCTTATTCCTCGCACGCCATACCCTATTCTATGCAAGAACGCGTCTACATTGAAGCAACACAGCCCGGGTGTCCTCCAATAGTAAATAGCTGAGGTGCGCGCAGCCCATCAAAAAGAAAATGGGATAATCTCGCTCCATGAGACCCAGATGGCTGACCACTGGTCCACTAAAAAAATTAAGGAGCGGAACAAATGGTGTGAGAAGGAAATCATGAAAGCGTTAATAGTAAAAAGAGAACCCGAAAGAAATTCCTATTACTACGGTATTTACGTACAGTATTCGTTCGATTGACCCCTAAGGAAATGGAATGTTAGGCGTCCACCGGAGGGGAGCTGAGAGGGGGAAAGAAAACGGGGATAACCACAAAAGAAACTATTTCTCTAGCGGGGCATGCCCATGGTTCACTCAGGTCTCCAAAACGAAGAAGAGTGAGGGACAAGAAAGCAGAAGTGAGTGGTTATTGAACCGGCATACATAGTTATACAGGAAAAGATAGAATTGGCTGAACAAGCTGTTAAACTGAGAAAGGGAGACAAAAGGAGAGAGTGAGAAAGGGAGACAAAAGGAGAGGTGTGGAAAGAGAGTGAAAAAAACCTTTTGAAGACAACATCAACCTGGCCAGGGTTGATTTATGGTCTTCGGCAAACGAAGTTGCCAATCTTAATAAAGTAAGGAGCGTGGGAAGAGAAGCTTCTCAATTTAGCTTTCCCCTTTGAAGGAACGAAAAGTACTCACCTGCCGCCGCTTGGGGTCGCCCTCGCTGCTACCAGCTAGATCCCTTCAGTATTCCTTTCTTGGCATAGTACAAACAAACACAAAGATTCAGTTTATTGTCTACTAGACCAATGTGGATACGGTGGAAAAGCGTGAATAGATGTAGCGCAGGAAGAATGCTGGAAGCTGGCGTACAGGCGGTCGTTCCTCCATCTTCCTTGTATTCGCTCCACCCTCTCGTGCTCGCCGCTTATCTAGTGATCTGGAATGCCTCCGTATGAGCTTCGTACTGTACGTGTCACCTCGTTTCTTTTGAACCTCTAGGCTCTTACAAAACACTTCTGCAAGTGTTAATGCCACAAGGATGTACATCGCAGCAGTTGTAAACGACTATTCGGTTAATTTTCTACTTGACACGGGATCAGACATAACATTACTGAATGAAGATGTCTGGAAGAAAATGGGACCTCTGAAACAAGAGAAGGCATTCGAGGAAGGCTCAAGTGTACAATTGAAATGAAATGCAGCAAAAGTGTAGGATACGCCTATGTGACACCGTATAACGCGTTTATGGGACTAGAGTGGATACAGAGTATGAAAGAGATGATGCATCACACGGAAAGATGGTTGCGGAGGTTAACATAGCTCCTATGTGGAAGAAGAGCTGAAGGAGAAGTATCCTGAAGTATTCAGTGAAGGTCTCGGACTCTATACGAAAGAGAAAGCCGACCTGATTATACGAAAGGGAAAGCCGACCTGATACTTCCACCCAATACCCGTCCCGTATTCCGTTGCAGTCGTCCCATTGCCTACGTGCCATAGAATCCGTCGAAATGGAACGCTGCACTGCTGCACTCAGCAAAACCCAACAGTACTTCGATTATCCCCTCCCCACCCCCGAAGACGTCTTCGGCATCGCTGTATGAAGGAACCGTGTTTTCTCAAATAGGCCTCTCCGATGCCTATCTCCAGATTGAACTGTTCGAAGAATCTAAGAAGGCTGTAATCAGCCCACATTAAAGGTTGTTCCAGTACAATCGCCTACCTTTTGGAATCAAAACAGCGCCTGGAATTTTCCAGCAAATTATGAACAAAGTGGAAGCAGGCCTTGAAGGAGTTATGAGATATTTGGATGGTGTCCTGGTATGCGGAGCAACTGAAAAAGAACATAACAAGAATGTTCTATCTTTGTGTGAAGAAATCGCTGAAGACGGATCTAAATTACGCATGGACAAATGTACGTTTGCAAAGTCCGGAATCTGCTATGGATTCATAGTCGACAAAAATGGTAGGAGGCTGTTCCCTCAGAAAATTGAGTTCATCAAAAATATGGCCGAGCCGGGAGACTTCAAGCAGCTACGTGCATTCATAGGAATGATGACATACTACTCCACATTTATGCCGTCCAGAAAAGTCTAAGTGGCCCCTTGGTTGCAATGCCAAAGAAAGACGTGAAGTGGTATTATACGTCTGTTCAGCAAGATGCATATGAGAAGTTGAAAGCAGCGTTTTCCGGTGATCTTAATCTAGCCCACTACGACCCCAAGGGAACGCTGATGGTTCTGAGAAAGCGATAGCCTTCACTTCCCGTTCGCTTTCGGATGCTGAAAGGAACTATTCACAGATTGATAAAGAAGAACTTGGATTGATATTCGAGATGAAGACGTTACAGTGTACTCCGCAAATCGACTAGTAAGAAGCAACTATCCTGCTAGGATACGATTTTGACATTCACTTTGTTGATACAACGTAGTTTGGTCAAGTTGATAGACTAAAGACTGATGCAAAAGTACAACACTTCAGAAGAAGATATTGTTATAGCGGCAGTAGAAACTGATGTATCAGAGCAATTGAGAAACTGCATGAGGAAATCGCCGCTAACTCATCTAGATGTCAATCTTTACTCGGAACAAGACCCACTGCTGAGAAAAATGAAGTCGTTTATCAAACATGGAAAATGACCCAAAAAATCAGGAGTCATCACCATTCCATACAAGAAAAACACTTTCGCTTTTTCCGCTTGTGTAAGGATGTCTCATGACTGGAGAAAGAGTCATCATCTCAAATAAGCTGCAGAGCAGTGTGGTAAATGAACTACATGTTTCTCACCCTGGCATCGTACAAATGAAAATAGTCCGAAGCTACATATAGTGGCATAACATCGACAAGGATTGTGAAGTCGTCGTGCGAAGCCGTTCCAGATGTCAGGGAAACGCGAAAAACTATCAGAGCGACGCTGGAACCTTGGCCGACTGCTACGCATGCATGGCAAACAATTCATGTGGATTTCGTCGGACCAATGGATGGACACTATTGGCTGGTCGTGGTCGATGCATTCAGCAATTGGTCGGAAGTGATGGAGCTAACCAACATTTTTGCGATCGAACAGTAAATAAACTCAAGAAAATTTTTGCGAGATATGGATTGCCGCAAACAGTTGTGAGCGATACGGGAACTCAGTTTTTATCTGAGTCGTTCAAGAGGATGTGTGATGAAGGAGGAATTGCGCACATAACCATAGCCCCTTACCATCCTCAATCGAACTGACATGTAGAAAGGTTCGTCGATACGCTGAAACGAGGTATCGAGAAAATCAGAGGGAGAGGAAGACCGTCCGAAGATACCTTGAATACTATCCTGCAAGCCGACACGACCACACTAAACAACAGCTTACAAGAGAAGATTCCGGCAGAATTATTTCTAGAAAGAAAAAACCGCCCTCGATTATGCATGTTGATGCCGATTTAGTCAAGAACAAAGGATCATTTCGTGGAAAAAAGGCGAGAAGACATGCAAAAACAGTTCAACAGGAGACATGGTACTGTTGAAAAAATCTTGCTGTTGGTGAAGCCGTATATACCCGGCAGTGGAAATCGTCACAAGTTGTCTGGTAAAAAGGCGCTATCAAACACTGCCTCGAGCCATAGCGAAGTAGATGTGAAAGGAAGACTTTTGAGAAGCGTGTGAACCACTCAAACGTCGTCATGAAGACACTCTGACAAGTAGTGGAAGTTCGATGTTGACAACATTATTGGACATATTCAGTATTCGCGGTGATCAGCACAACAAACCTGCAGAGGAATCAAAAGATCAAGCCGCGGATGTTGACACACAGAAAATGAAAAGTGGTACGAGTGACTCCCGACATGCACACTGAGTCCAGAGCCGCAGCCACGCCAAGAAGATCAACACGAACAAAAGACCCGTCGGAAGATATGGAATATCTCGTGTGTAGTTGTTTTGTTAACACGTTGACGACATCGCGCCTTTTGTGCTTTTGCACCGCGTGGGACAATAGCGATTTTGCAAGCGCAGCCGCCGCACACCAAATCCATGGATCTTAAGTTGTAAATCCCCAATACTTAGAAGTGATTAAATGTTTTCAATGATGTTCGATCAGTCCAGCAGTCGAGTTACAGTAGTGGAAGTTTGATCAAATGAAGTGTTAACCATGAAAAGGGGAACTTTACTTAGATTCCCTTTAGTGGTTCCAAAATTAATTCGGACATTGCTGTTTCTGTAAAAACACATCTCATCCCATACGAATGGGTTTGTATTCACTTCTCTTATTCCTTCTTATCGACATGATTATGTTATTGAAAAGAAAACGAGGAATGAATTGAACAAACATATCCGTAAGGTCTGAGAAATCTCTGTCAAACTGAAGAATATTCGGCCTTTCTGTGAGCCATGTGGTTTTTAAGTATGCTAATGTAGAGTACAGAGACCTTAGAAATAAGTTGCACAAGCGCAGGAAAAAGAGAAGACTTGGGTGGGACGCGTTACCGCGTCACAATGTCCCATGAGGTGCGCAAAAAGGGACGCGTTATCGCGTCACACTGTCGTCAACGTGTTAATATATTATTGCCCCTTCAATGTACCCGTAGTAGGAACAAAGTACAATATTTTTTTTATCGGGGGAGGTGCTGTAAAGGAATGAGCTGATAAATAGCTTAATCATAATCAGCCCTTCCCTACTCTATATAAGCAAACCTTGAGTAGGGTCGAGCACTTTATTGTGTTGTGTCCCGGCGTACAGTAAACCGGTCGTCCATCTTGGTGTGAAGAAACACAACAGATTTTGTAAGCCACCCGACCAAGCATCTCCCCCTCTAGCGTTCCGACGTCGTGTAGAGAAACACCTCGGAATCACCCATCACGATAAGGAACTCACCAACTCACTGTCATAAGGCACGTAGCCCATTTTTGTAAACCACACACTGATACAAAGGACAGAAGTCATTGGTAATCGACAAGCACTCATTTCAGTTATTCATTCACTTTTGGCTTTTTTTGCGAAAGTCCAAAATGACTCTAGGACTTTCCTTTCTCTATTTCTAACCACGACGTCAGAGACGCTAGAGGGGGAGATGCTTGGTCGGGTAGCTTACGAAACAAGAAGGCTTCGAATTATTTTCAGGCTTCTGAGGAAGACGAAAAGGTCGAAACTTTGGGCCATTCAATAGAAAACTTCATCTATCGACCTCGCTTGGCACAGAATATTTAAGCAGCTCTTGCAACGTTTTGCAACCGTTGTAGTGAGTTTTTGAAACATGTGTTTCGTATTGTTTCTACACATTTATTGGGCCATCTCATTCAAACATGTGGAAACTTCTAGAGAAATGATGGCAAACGTCTAGAGCTACGGCCCTCTGCTTGCTTTTGTTTCGAGGCCAGCGCTTCTAGCTACGCTATCCCCCAATTGAAATTAAAAGCCGTGGAAGAAAACATTTGAAAACACAGTAAAGCTCATAATGACCTAAGCCATGGCGGAATTTTCAAATAAGTCGTCATGTACGGAAAATTTGCAGCTCAAATACTTTGTAAGCTGGCTCAACTTGCGCGTGATGCAGTGTTCTCGACGTGCTACATTGAAGATTTGGTGTTAGAGCTCAAGGAAGGGAGGATAGGAGTTGGGTTGAAGACGCGCTCATATTGCCCACCCTGCCCAAGAAGAGCGGGCGGATGAAGGCAGGATTTGAATGGCGTATTACAGAAGTTGGACCTTTGCGATGTTTGCCTACGAGACCTGCAGACCTGCTGCTACCGTTATCCAAATAGTGCCCGAAAATTGGAGATGGTCCACAGAACGTGTTTCTGGATACCTCATTTGCTCCCAGTTGCAAGAGTTCAGAATCGAACTGATGTCTTTCGCAGCTAACTTCTCTGCCAATATCGCCATCAAGGCTCCAAAACTGGACGCTGCTCATAAACGAAATTCGAGCGAAATTGTACGCTGAGCAGAAAGTTACAAGCGTCGGCTCCATCCACGAAAAACTTCCATAGATGCTCAAGTGGATTGCTGGTTTCTTAGCGATCGCACTCTCAAATGAATAGGCCGATCCCAGGCCCCACATAGCGACTTCAGCTGCTTTGGCCACTTGAGTTTACGACTCGTTGGCAAGCGCTATACAATTCTTTGATCATCGAACTGACGTCAGGAGCATCTTGTTGAAAAAGAAGCTGCTCGGTTGCAGTGTATTTTGGACGCAAGTACAGGGTGCTCGACAACGACAAGATTTACTTGTCTTCACACTAAAATATTATTTTTTTTATCTTTTCTGCTGATCATTTTATCAAAATAAAACCTTTCACATGACTGAATGAGATGACCTTATGGATTAGAATGATACTTTGGGACAAACTTCGAAGTCTCTCATGAAGGTACTATAATAGTATTGACTCTTCCGATGTGATCTTGCTGAATACACAAACTGCATAGCCAAACCGTTTCATTATATTTCATTTCCTTCGCATGCCTCGAGACTTTTTGCTTTATAGGTTTGGACATTCTACGCCCTTAAAAAACTGGTATTTGACAGCCAATGGAAGAATTAGACCGTCAAATTCTTCAACTGTGCAGTAAGCTGAAATGGTCAGTTTTTTTTAATCTACTTTTCTTATCTTAATTTTTTATCAAGACAACTTGTTGAACTAGAAGCAATAGAACAGTGTACAAAAGAGTTCCGCCTCTGTTACGTTGTAATGTACGTAATCTGTTGTTCTTGAAGGAGGATTCTACTTTAACTTTGAAGGTTGGAGAAAGGGAAATTGTCACAGAAGAAAGGCAGCAGACCTCCTAAGGGTGCGGGACGATGCGTGTTTCGCCGAAATGGGCCGCTCCAGCATCGTAGCTAGGAGGTTCTCGCGCAGGGTCAACCCTATGTTGCGACAAGTACCAACGAGGGGGGTGGGTAGTATTTGGTTGAGCTTGTAGGGGAGTCGTACTCTCTCCGAGGTCGGCAGTGGGATTCTTGGTAGACATGGATTCCAGCCACGAAACCGCATATGAAGCCTAAGTGTATCTAGCCGTAATAGCCAGAACGCTATGTGTACGACAGTATAATTGATTCCAGAGCATCTATAAACCCCTTCCTTCTGTATGAGCTTTCAAACGAATCAGCGAATCAGAAGCGCGGCCGAGGCGTGGCGCACACCGAGGCAGAGGATATCAGTGCAAGCGATGCTCAAAGCTTTCTAACACATCCTATGTTCAACACGAAATTGCTTTACCTGGAGGTTACGGCCAGTGAAACCTGAAGAAATCGCGTTTTTAAAAAATGGCTCGAAGAATGCCCCTCTAAAAAAAGTCGCAACGAGGCTAGTTTTTTAACTGCTGACTTTTCAGGAACGTTCGGGTACTTTTTAGAAAGCTTTAATCCTTTAGTTTGTCATACCGAGTGCAGCTTCCCAAATCAATGAGCTTGAAGGAAGTTGTGATCGTGTGAAGGTTGATAGTTTGTGGTTCCATTAAAAATATTATAGTTCCGGCCACCCTCCCCCCCCCCCCCCAAAAAAAAAAAGTCGCAACGGGACTAATTTTTGAATTCCTGACTTTTTAGGAACGTCCGTTACGCGGGTACTTTTTAAAAAGCTCGAATCCTGATGTTTGTCACCCTGTGTTCAGCTTTCGAGATCGACGACTTTCAAAAAAATTTATGGTCGTTCTAATGTTGAAAAGTCGCATTTGCACAGAAAGAAGTTCCAACAAATGCTAAATTTTTATTAAATTAGCTTTCGAAGGATATTCAGCCATGATTGGAGAGATGATAATTTGAGTTCTTCAAATCGAATAACTTCGGCGCAAAAGCTCGAATATGAAGGAAGTTATAGCCTAGAAAGAGGAAGGTAAAAATTGTAGTGCAATTTTATTTCCTGCTCATTCACTCAATCATTTCAAATTTTTGGAAACAAATGGCTTTAGTTACGAGGAAAGGTCAACGGGCCGGTCCGGCCATTTGCAGTGAGGTGTGCACCTATGCATTCGTCTTGAGACGATAAGCTAGAAACCCTTTTTCTTATCTGCTAAACGGTGCTCTGAACGACGTTTCGAAAGTTTTCCCCCTCAACACTGTACTTAAACGCAGTATATAAGCGCTATCATTGGAGTCGCCAGTAAAAAGCCAAGCGGGAAGGAGCACTCCGTGGTTGACGTGGCGTAAGTGGTAACGCTCCAGGCTTGTGGGCGAGAGGTCATGGGATCGGTCCCTCGTGGTGTTTGCTGTTTCACCTTTATTGAAAAGGTGACCAGAAAGGAGGGTCAACCGTCCGTTGGACAATGTCCAACGCGACGACGAGAGTAATGCCGAGAGTGAACGTACGCACGGTGACAAGATTGGCTCGCGCTGTGGCGAGAGTGAATGCCGGCGCGGAGAGCGGTGAACATCAACGTCGCTCCACGTATCGGTCCAACGTAACGGTTGACCCTGCCAGAAAGGCGACAGTATCTCTTCAATTGCTGCCTTTACCTGCCTGTGTAAGGAGTTAAGGAGCACCTCTGCGCAGGTTGAAAGCTATTTTTAATTAATATTTGCCATGACTGAAAACGACGCTCATAGCCCACTGACAAGGTGTTTTTGCGGTGAACGAGTATGATATTCGTGTTCAGGTGACCAAATTTTCCCTGGTTACAAGTTCCCAGCTGAACCTGAGTTGACCTACACTCGAGAAAGGGAAGTCAACATACAGTCAAACGAAAGAAGGTATGAATTGAAAACTAACTGGAAAAGCATCTTCCCTAAATTTTGATGCAGAGTCATGTAAATCATTTCCGTTACGCGGAAATGTGAGCGGTTGAACGTTTCTCTTTTCAAAATCTTGGTTGGAAGAGCAATTTTCATGCAAAGAGTTCAACGATAGGTTGGTGATATGATGGTTGACTCACCTCATTTTTTAGGGTTGGGTCAAAATCTCAGATTCGGAAGGAAACTTATCTGCAAGAGTAGTTTGATCTCCTGAACACGAATATCGCGCCTGTTTGCCATGTTCATACATGGACGACTACTGCCCAAACCTGCAAGAAACTGCTCGAAATTTTTTCGTACAGGGAACTAACGGCAAAGTTGATAAATTAAGAAGTTAGAAGCCTTCTGGCTACATCTCCACGAAGCACGAAAGAAACAGACTCCCCGAGGAGCCGTTTCCACGACCTCTTGCTCGCGAGTTCGGGACACTGCCACTGCGCTTCCTTGCTTTATAACTACGTTCAGAGAATCGTTTAGCAGATAAGGAAGGCAGTTCTGAGCTCAGCGCCTCGAGGCGACTTCAACGGTGTACGACTCATTGCAAATGGCCGGACCGGCCTGTTGACCTTTCCTCGTTAGAAAGGCTGATCCTCGATGATCCAAAATCCACCTCCACTCTCCGATCTACCTGAATTTCAACGAAGAAAAATCCGTCTACATTTCAACATCCCGTTCGTCACCTGTTCCCGATCGGCAAACGCGTTCCATCGTCAGGGCGCAATTCAGCACATTCAAAACGCGACCAATACGCGTTTCCATTCTTTTGCTACCTCTACTTTTTATATTTTACACCTAATATTGCACCTACTGGTTTTTGGGTCTCATCCGGTAAGGAGGGGGGCATGTGGTGCGACAATTCAAATCGCTTGGAGTTATTCAATTCGTTGTAGGGGAAGGAAGCTATAGGGTGGTTGTAAAAGTTGAAGCGAAATGCTCCACGCAGCCAGGGGCTTCCCTCCCCTTGCACACAAGCATGACATACAGGGGGGAGGTCGTAAAAAATTCTAAGAGTACCAACGATAGAGTTGACCCTGTTCCCGCTCCCCTGCACGCCCAACCACTCACCGCCTGATTCGCGCCATTCTAGCAGAGAGGAGAGCGTTAGCATTGAAGTTGAACTTAGCATAGGTCAGCACGCCAAATGTGCAAAACGGGTTCAGATTTCTCAAGGTCTGGGCCGTTTTTCTTGTTTTTTTTTCCTTCTACCGTGCATTACTGACCATCTCTGCCTTGATTTTTGAAAGGCTCCCTTCTCATCGTAAACTCCACCTTTAGTGTGTTATCCCATTGATAATCGATTTCTTGGAGTGGCTATTTCTAGTAATAACTCTCCTCGTAGTTTTCACGAGCCAGTATAGTACACTGAACTTCTTCGTTCGAGATCAAGAATCTCAGGGTCTTGCAGTGAAACGGGGAGGCGGGGCATGGCATAGGTGCTACAGTTGCTAAAATTCCAAGGAGTGCAACTCCTTGGGGTGCGTAAACCGTTTCGCTTCCGCCTTGACAGTCACCTTGGAGCTTCCTCTTCTTTCGAAAAGATGGATCACTTTGGGCGACGTGAACAGTGGCACCACATGCCTCCCTCTTCAGTAGGTGAGATGAAGTACAGATTGTCATCATAGTTGTTGCGGGCAGTCTGTTGGAACTGTGAGACTCAGCAACCTTACCGGGAATTGAGATGGCGAAATGCTTTCCTGTTTGTCCTTCTGAAATTGGCGGCGTTTGTAGAACGATGGAAGGAAGTATCGTGGTTGACAGTCAAATACTGTTCCGGTTACAATACAATTTGGGCAAGGAACATATTATTGTTCTGTAACACAGATGAAAAAAGCCGCGGATCACGAGATAAGGCTGATTAATGCTCGCTTCTTTTTTTTACGCCGGCATTATTTAGTGCCAACGGCAATAAAGACATCTAAGAATGAATTCCACATTTGGCCCGCTCTCTGTATGTGTCAGAATGAACTAAATTAGTGAATTCAACGTTAGAAAAGCGCCATTGAATATAGACGGGTTTTTATTGGATATTTTCGCTGATAGAATTTCTTTTGCATTTTACTGAAATTTTTTGAGAGCATAGCTAGCTTTTATGGACTGCTGTATGAAGTTTGGTTCCTGTGTTCCTAAGAAAGCACCTCACCAGTTTCGGATAAAAGAGCCCAGCTACATTCATTAAAATTCGTTGGCTAAAGCAATATTTGCACAGAACAGCAGCTAGTGAGAGAAATCATAATTATACTTTTGCGTCTTTGTTCAGCTTTATTTCAGTTCCTTCTACGATCCGACGTTGACATCCCTCGAACAGCTTTCACATGACGACGTACTGGAATTTCTCACAAGGTAATGTATCGGATTTTACTGTTAAAGGAAGCGTTTACGATAAAGAGGGAGCGCATCGGGGAAGCATGTGCACCACACGAAACAGTTACTTGGTTGCCAGAGAAGCCAATATGTGGCGCTTCCACAACGGAAAGGCGCTGGTTGCTGAGCAGGACTTCGAAAGCGCTCCGCCCCTAAAAGCGATCCGCCCACTAGTTTAGTTGGTGATTTGGACGAGCTTTGTTGCCAGCAGCGGCGCAACTAGTGCGGCTAGATTGGAGCGTGGTTTGGCATGGGGCCGCCAAACTGGCTGAGCTGAACTCGTCCATAGGCGTTTTTTGAGCTGTCACCTGTATTTTTCTGCTTTTTTCGGCGTTCCACTGAGCACCACCACGTCACACTAAACCCTTCCTAAATATGTAGGTATCGCTGCCTCTAAACAGTTGGGGGAGGGGATGGGATGGAGGTAATCGCCGTTGCTGCGACTTATCCGCGCTTTAAAGCGCGATCCTGAACTGGGCACGAGCACCTTTTTCCGGTCCTGGATCAGGCACGCTCCTCTGTTTCATCTCCGATCGTAGCAGACAGACGGGCAAGCGTTGATGTCGTAATCTTTTGCATCCCGCGACCCTGAAATTACGCGACAGAGATGCTGGAACGACCGCTCGCCTGCAACCCACACCTTCGTTCTCCAAGCCCCGCCTTCCGTGGCGGTGCGAGAAGAGCGTGCTGCAGTTGCGACAGTGTGGCCAGCAATTGGCACAGGAGCAACTGGAGCTAGCCCTTCGAAAACTCCTCTGAACACGACTACTTCGCCACTAGCACCAAGCGCGTTCTGCTTATTTGTACCGTGTTGGACGTTTTCCACCCAAGCCTGCGATGAGTTGTGTCGTCGATAGGTAGCTGTGCTCCCTCTATCACAACATGTTGCAGGCGATGCATTCCTACATAAAAAGGGAGGTCTGTCTTGCTGAAGCTCATTAAAGCGGACCTACACAATCTTCCTCCAAATAGCGACATTGTTCTAGTATCCACTCAATTCTTGCTCAACGTTTAAGTGTCAAATGAAGACACGTCCACTTCCCAATTCACCATTCACAAGATTCACAGAAGAAGTCGCATCTGTGCAGCACTCTTTCGAGAAATCTCGTGGTTTTTCACAGAAAACGAGTGTTAAGTGACAGTGGATGTGACACAGAAAGTCTTCCACCGTGAACCAACGACGAGCTGAGCAAAACCTCCCCATTGGTCAGAGTGAAAGGAGGACATTGTATGACGATTTCCAGAGGGAATTGCTCTGGCTACTAGTCAGAGCAGGGTCACAACTCGTTCCAACGCAAAGCCCCGCGCTGAGAAGATATGATCTCATTCTTCTTCCTGCACCGGGTACATCTTCTAGGGAATCCTCTCTGGGAGTGCTAATGTGACAAAGAGGATGTTTCGTGAACAACTCCAAAAATCGTGTCCCGATCCCTCATTTTCCACCTTTCCCAAGGGAAAGCATTTTGATGGGCCATGCTCGACCACACCGCACGAAGAAGACAACGGAGCAGCTGGGAAAATAAACCATCACCTGGCTGCCCGTCAAACCTCTCCAATATATTTAAGATTACCACGTTTTCGGGAGCATAAAGGCTTCCACTACGAAAAAAAAATTAGCAATCGCTAGGACGTGAGCGTGCAGTGAATCATTAACACGTTGACGACATCGCATGTTTTGGCATTTTGCACCTCGTGGGACAGGAGCGATTTTGCGACCGCGCCGTCCTCACCTTACTCACGCTTATTTTTTGTTAAAAATGCACAATAACTTGAAATTCATAGGACTATTTCGGCAAGGACGATCGCACAAAGGTTAAGTATATAAGTAGCAAAAGGTTTTCGTTTAGAAGAGCGCATAATAACCACGAAGAAGTAAAAAAACATCACTTTCGCTGCGAATGAAATTAAAAGCATTTATATCTAAGTACTCCCATCAAATCAAATATATTGAAACTCACAGAGTTTTGTTTCAACTAACTCTAAAATCTTTCATAAGAATATTGACGGCAGTGAAAGTATTATTAAGAAAGAATCGGAACGAAAGTTTTGTGCGTTCGGAAAATCTTTGCTTAATCAAAAGATACTTGACCACTCTAGCTGCCAAGCGGTTTATAGTCATGCTAATGTATTATCTATAGAATGAATACAAGAAACCCGAGAGGAAGGAGCGCAAGCACGATAAAAGTGAGTAGCATAGACTTGACGCGCTTGCGCGTCAGAATGTCCGATGCGGTGCGAAATTCTTGACGCGCATGCGCGTCAGCTTGTCGTCAACGTGTTAATCGCTCCTGTCTCTCTGTCTTTCTTCTAGAGAAAGGGTTCAGCGCTGTTCAGTAGATGGAGAGGCATCGTGGCTTAGAAGAGCCTCTGTACTGACTATCGATTCTACGCTTTGATGGGTATAACAAGGAGATAGTTTGATGGGATCTTCTCAAAACTTTTGTAACTTAAAATATGGCCTTCCACTGCGTTCAAAATCACATTCTTGGATGTTTACAATCACTAAGAAATGTGAGTAGTGGTGATGCGATGTGGTTCTTACGCGAAATGGAGACTTTTAATTTTAGATGTTTGTGGTTAATTTCGCCACCATCCAGAGCTTTCATAAGTTCCTGCAAGTTGTCGCCCTATGCATCTGAGCGTTTCCAAATGGCAACAGCTCTTGCAAATTCGTTTTTGGTGGGTTCATGGTTTGTACACAGTTTGTTCTTGTTTGTGGTTCGTTTGATTCTGTTCTGAATACATCGTGCTACCTGCTACTCTTCTTGATATCTTAGGCTAATTTATCAAATGAGTATTCGGTACTATTGTGCTGTAACAAACCCAAGAAGACAAGAAAAATTATGCCCAAATTACTGTGCTAAGAATGCTACTTTGGGTGTGAAACAAAGGCATATTTTCAGCAGAGCTTCAGGGATTACATAATGTAGTATGTTCTATACAACTCCTGATAATTTTTTACAAACAAGAACGGGACTCTCAAAGGAATCCTTCGCGGAAACTTCTTGCATTCTTTCTTAACATGAATGTATCGGTTGTGATCACTAGATGCAATACACAAAGTTTTACGCATGGAGGTTCGGTTTCCGAAGAGAAACAAACTCACGAAAATCCATTCTGTGGACAGTCGAAGGTAATTCGGGCGGGGCCAAAGGCGGGGCATGAAGTAACTCCGCACTGGGGCTCCCACGTATCAGGCGACGCAATGAAAGAATTGGGTCAAAGCGTGGAATTTTGGAGAGTAGAGACAAATCGATCTATAGAATAGGATGGAGTAGAAGTGTGAGATGTGATTGCAATAAATCAAAAGGCCAGAGAGAGTTCCTAGTGAAGGCACTCCAAGGCCCATGTGGAAGCGTTCCCGTCGCCAGCATTTGTGACAGATGTGCGGCGGTACTTCGAATGCGTAGCAGCCCTTTCGGTTTTTCGAATTTTTTACAATACAAATGCAATTTTTCTATTCTTTTCATTCTTATTGTGGATAGTTGGTCTCAAGCCAGTGAATTATGGCTGAAATTGAATCATGATTTTTCCGTGAAGGATTCTTTTAAGAACTCGTCCTATGTATTGTAAAGGAGTGGAACACCGAACTGAGAGGGTTGCTTTTCCTTTTAGATGAACGTTGGTAGAGAATAGTGGAGATGATCATGCTGGCTTTGAATGCGCAGAAGTTTAGTACTGGTCTTCATTGTATCACAATAATCTTCATGCAGGCGCTGCATGGCGCTCTATTTGTGCGGACCATTTTCATTCCCTCTTTGTTGCAGGGGAGTAACTGTTTCTGTTCGGACTCTTATACTGCCATGCTTTCGTTCAGCTAGCTTTACTTTTCTTTTTCAAAGAACATCGACTGGAATATCCGACACCATCCTCTTGCGTGTTCAAGTGTGGCGTTTTGAAACAGTTTGAATACCCTTCATATGTTGGACCATCTCTAATAGGGTGGCTTAACACTTCTCTGATCCCAGTTATCAAGTCGATACACTATATACACGACACATCTCAATTTAATGCATTCGCTACCCACAGATTACACTTTGTTTTTAGAATCGATTTTCGAACGGACATGATGGTCCTAGTGGGCGTTGAAGCAGCAGCAGAGAGAGTGAGGGGGGGGGGTGAGGGGGTGCTGGCCGTAAGTTTGGATCATCTGGGAGCCCTGGTCTTCTTGTGACGCGCTAATGTCCAATGCAGTGGAATCGGTGCTAAATAGTAGACTACCTGCAAGTTCTCCAGCTTTTATGTTCTCGTTTTCTTTATCGGCTTTGTTGCAAAAAATAAAACGGTGACAATCTGTCGAGTATCTGAGGTCAACAAGCATGCATTCGGAATCGTCTAAACCATGGGTGAGCGTAGAGCGTAGCGTAGCTTCTCGAAGAGATGGGGAATCTCATTCATGAACGGGATGTTAGGGAGTACCCTTTACTCGTGCTGCCGTCAGGCTGATGAAGAGACAGAGAGACACAATGCTGCGAGGAGAGGGATAGCACGAAGGAGCTTTTTGCACGAGAGGGTACATACACCACGTTTGCTGCGAAGATAAGAATGGCAGCGGTCACAGCGGTCAAGTGGAGGCATTGGCACTCTTCTCGTACGTTAGATTCCTGAAAAGGCGCGACTTCCGTGCTTGGGGATTTTATTTATTTATTTATTCATTGAAGACGTGAGCAGGAACCACGTGAGAACATTCAACAAAATCTATAGAACTTGTAGCAGTCAAAATCCAAGGATACAAAAGAATGCAGTGTGTAAGATAACACTAAAGGTATAAATAAAAAGCAGAACAGTGCTTTTTGCTACAATAAGGTCTAGCTTGTCAGCAAATACTCTTGACCTAAGTTGTTAACGATGTCTTGTGGTGAAAATATGACTCTGAAGAGCACCCTCCCCTCACCCTGTTGGTACCTTAATACAAGTTGTTCTTCCCAGTTTTGGCTATACTTCAATTTGTGCACAGCAGTGATAATGCCTCTGTCATTTGCTGTCAGGACAACGCCACTGTAAGCGGTTCCTTCATGAAATTACGCATAAAGGTTGTTTGATAGGAATAACGATTGTGGGGTTCCTTCTGCAAGTTGATGTTTGAGTTAATGACGAGTTTAATGGGAAGTAGTCGCTGTGCCAGCCGAATAAACGAACCAGCCCGTTTGGCGTTTCTGCTGGGGCCGTATGCTGACTATTGGAAAGGGGGTCCCAGCGGTCGACGGATTACTTCATCTCGGTCCTTAAAACCCACCTCTTTTTGATGCCTACCTCAGGACTAAGTCTTAAAGAGAAGACAGACCTGCGAGAGAGCGCAGGTCCGCCCTCTCTCCGAGGCTTAGTCCTGGGGTAAGCAAACCAGCCCCTCTGGCGGAGCTGACCCAGCTGCACCACTTTGTCGCCACTCTCCTACCATACCGACCAAGTTCAAGTAGTCCGTCGAGTTTGGGGACCCTCTCTATCTTAACATTCAGCATACGGCCCCAACTGAAACGTCAAAAGAGCTGGTTTGCTTACCTCGTGCCAGCCCAGCCACAACTGCTCACCAGAATCAACCGTCATATTCGTTACCAAAACCATACATGATTTATCAGGCACTCGAAAATCACCTGTGTTGTATAACACAATAATGCCAAATTCTTATAGAAATACAACGTACGAGGAAGATTTGGCTATCAGACTTTATTGTATGGCAGCACTGCAGAACTTCGCGAGGTATTCATCGCAGTGTATGAGAAGATTCCCAAAGAGATATCTTCGCATCTCAGACAATGTAATCAGTTGGCTGTGTATGTTTTTGTCTTTATACGATTTAGAAAATATCATCTTTGTTTTGCAGTTCTCTTGCCTCTGGCTGAAAAATTTCTGGAGTCCATATCGGTATGGATACTGAAGTTCGGTTACACGATGACATGGAAAAATAGGCTTTATCGAAGGCAATTTCATGTATGTTATAAACCCCTTGAGTAGAAGAAAGTAATATTTCTTATTGCTCCTGAAATCAATACAACATTGAAACAATGTTTTTCGGTGTTCCCGAAAACTGCGCCCTAAGGCCGATGTCATAGTTTGCGAATCGAACGTTGCACCAGCGAATCGAACTTTACACCAGCGAATCGAACTTTGTGCCAGCGAGTCGAACGATGTACCAGCGAGTCGAACTAGGTACCAACGACTCAATAGTGGCGGAACCCAACTTTCAAAGAAAGCCCGCCACATTCAAATAGTGTCACGTGACAGTGGGCACTGTTTGAAAGTGGCGGGTTTCCTTTGAACGTTGGGTCCCGCCACTACTGAGTCGCTGGTACCTAGTTCCATTCGCTGGTACATCGTTCGACTCGCTGGCACAAAGTTCGATTCGCTGGTGCAAAGTTCGATTCGCTGGTGCAACGTTCGATTCGCTGGCGCAACGCTCGGATCGAGCGAATCGCTCGATTCGCAAACTATGGTATCGACCTAATGCTGAAACGCTTCTATACGGTGTATATGCCAGAACATTGAGAACCCAATGCGGAAGCTGCGAGCGATAGCAGTGTTTAAGTCGTTTCCATGAAATTGCCCAAGGTAATGTGCTGAAAAGGTGGTAGCAAAGTATGGGTTCCGGCGTTTCTGTTGTAGAGAAAATAGCTGACAATAATTTCGAGCTGCCCATTTTGAGATCAACTTTAATCAGTGAAGTGATTCTGGGGTGAATACCGAAATGATCTAGTTTCATAAAGAGAATTTCATCAGTAGACTTGGTAGATATTAGAAGAGCCCTCCTTATTGCTTGAACAAACGCGGAGTTATCCACTGGCAGTTACAGCTGTAAACTGGGTCGACTTTCGTTTATGTAAATTCGGCGAGGCAGGGGGATTGCACTAAGTCATTAGAAAGGTGGGAGCCTAGGCACGGGACAGCAACTGAATTTCAATTTGAACCACATAGCATAGCAATAAAGAGCAGACATCTAGCCAGCGTTATTACTGATCACAGGCGAGCACATGGCGCATCCTAGAGCAGGATTTGTTACCGTTACGCTTCATATTTTTCCGGGCAAACACTTTTTCTCCAAAGAGATCACGATGCTTTCAAATCAAATGAAATGAACAGAAGTGCTACGAATTCAGCAGATTGCCTTTCAAAAGATTGTAGCAAAAAAATGTTTCATTGTCAGCATAGGACAAGTGTGGGGGGATGTAGGGGTAGAAAACTGATCGCGTAATTTTCATCGACTTCACTTAACTTATGAGCGCTCAAGAGTTGAAAACTGGCATTTAGGAGGAGGGTCAAAAGAATTATGGAGAAAGGAAGAACCAATGAAATCATTTCTTGAGAACGTGGTTTTTCAGGAAACTTCATGACCTTGTCGGAAGTTCTGACTTCGTAGTTTTTTTTTCAGCCTTAGAGATGTGAGAGAAGTGAACGATGAAAAATTACCAATATTGCCAGAAAGTTGAATGCTCGCATATGCACAAAAAAGCACGGCTACTTCGTGCACGAAAGTTGGGAAACATAATTATTGATGATGTTCTGAAGTGAACACGATGAAAAGGAAGATATTCCTCAATGCCAGTGCCTCCCTCTCCCGAGAAGTGCTCAAAAGAGCTCGAGACCTGCCTATGAGTGCTGAGGCTCGTCCAAGCTCTGCCGTCTCACGACTAATATTTGCGACTAATATTAGAGAGAGGTGTGAAGGGTACCATCATGGCAAAATTTTCGTATCTCCTTTTAGAAGTTTTAGCCGATTATACCTCACACTCAAGACGCGTACGTCGATGCATCGTACTGTAGGATATTTGGGTTTTGTTGTTAATGACGGTACTATTGGTTCCATCTAAATGTTTTTTAAGGATGGACTCGACGTTTTCCTTATTGCGCTTTCGTGCGGAAATCTGGTTCTCCATCATGCTGGTATTGGTAGCTCAGGAAGTGGTTATCTTCCCTTTCGCTCCGAGCAAGTGTCTTCTGACCACGTCACCTCTTCGTCACCCGCAATGAAACAGAGGTATGCTTGAATAAATCTCGTTAGGTTGTATTGTTTCGGCCTCGATGAATCAATGCTGAACTATAAAATTTTAGTGTCCAACCCAATCGGAGTTTAAGACGCTTACAGAGTTACCCTTTCCCTTAGCATTACATCGATAATCGCTACGCTTTCCACTACTGATTTCCTGTGTATACGACCTCATTCCTCCTCCGCGAGCCGTATAGTCTCCCTCCCCTTCTCTGTTGAACCTTACACAATTTACGACCAGGGAGCAAAAGAGTGATAGAGGATTTATGAAAAATCTGGAATCAGCTCCCTCACGCTGTAAGTCTAGAGACGATCCTACAATAGCTGCCTTTGCTTAAAGGAATCTTGCGCGGAATATTCTTGCACTCTTTCCTAACATGAATATGTCAGTTGTGATCACTGGAGATAGCACACATAGTTTCAGCTCATGGAAGGTTCGGTTCTGAAGAAAAAACAAACGTACAAAAACTACACGTTATGGACCATCGAAGGACTAGGGAGGCAGAGCCAGGCGACGGCATGGAAAGACGACGGCGTTTGGCGGCTACGTACCAGGCGACGCAATGAGAGAATCGGGTTAAAAGCGCGCGATTTCGGAGAGTGGGGACAAATCGATCGATGGAGTAGGATGGAGTAGAAGTGTCTTTTTGTTTCCAGTCGGCAACACGCAGATTATGGCTGAAATGGAATCATGATTTTTCCGCGCAAGATTCCTTTAAGCCTTTGCACTCTCTTTCAGACCAGGCCTATCAGCCACTAACGAATTCAATTGAATTTTTGAAATGAAACTGTTCGCAGATGATGAGATCTCTGTGTAAGGTACTCGGAAGAACATTTTTTGCCTGTTTGAGAGTCTCATTGTCCTTCTGATACTTGAACGGATGTTTATTATGCATCCAAGCATGAAGCGTACTTGTGGGATTGTCGCATCCTGTTGGAGTTGCATTTCAGAATTCCTCATACGAACGACGAGCGGGAGCACGGTAGCAAAGTGGCTGAAGAGCCGTTGACGACAGCTGCCGCTCAAGTCAGTAGCGATCGTACTCAGCTGCTCGATGTTCTTGATGTGACAAGGAAAACTCAGAAAAATCTAGAAAAGGTGAACAAGTTCCGAATCACTGTCGCACCTACCTTTGTATTTGTGCCGTAATGCAGTGACAAAGAGCTTTCATAATTCTATGCTAGTATTGGGTTGTCCTGCGCAGGATTCCACGCAAATTCGTAAAGCCTTCCAATTTCTTCCCAGCGATCCCTGCGACTGCGCGAAACTAACACTAGAGAGCCAAAAAGGTTGGGTTGTCGAGAAGTTCCTGCTAATTTTACCATGAAATTCAAAAGAGCACATTTCGACTGAAACGAAGCATATTTGTTGGAAATGAAACCATTGCGATCCCTCACATTTGCCTATGAAGGCATGATGGACAGACAGACAGACACCGACAGACAGACAGACAGACAGACAGACAGACAGACAGA